AAATTCCAAGTGCTTCTTATTTTTTAATGCTTAGTAGCTCCGTTCTGAATGAGATGGCCACAGTGGTGGGGGCAGAATGGCAGAAATCACATAGAATCTCCCTCTTTGCTCTCTCTTCCCTCTCCTCTTCTTGCTTTCCTGAGTATTTACTAATATGACAGAGTCTGGTCTTTGGAAAGAGTAGAACATTCTAGCAAATCATAGTGGATAAGATTATTGACAATCCCTTTTCTCCTCCCTTCCTCTCCTAGGGTTCCCTGGGGGTGAGGTACACCCTCCACCTTGCTTGCCTTTGGATTTGGCTAGGAGACTTGGTATAACTTACAAAATGAGAACAGAAGTGACTGTATGCCAATTCTGAGCAAAAATCTTGCATGTTTCTGCTTGCCCTCTTGTTTTTCTGCCCTTCTCCATGGAAGAACGCTACCAGTACCTGAGGCCCCAAAATGGAAAGACACAGGCAGCAGACCAGAACCCACTCCACAGCCTAGATTTAAGTTCATCCTAAATCAGCCAATCTCAGACAAGTTCAGAAGAGCCACAAGCAATTTGGAGGCCTCTGAGCAAGAACAAATGTGATAAGTTATTGAGATTTGGAGAGTGTTTGTTATGCAGAATAATTGCAACATAACTGCATTGAAACAGTCCCTACAACCCCATGAATCTAATAATATATTGTGTTCAGAGCTAGGGTTTGGATGAACTTGGAATCTTGAGATTTCTCCACCCCTGCCAAGTTTGGTTGTGTGTGTGTGTGTGTGTGTGTGTGTGTGTGTGTGTGTGTGTGTGTGTGTGTGTGTGTGTCTGTGTGTGTGTGTGTATCCACACACATCTGTCTGTTACATGCAAGGTTCAAGCGTCTCTGATATGACAATAGGTTTGAAGCACATTTCTAAAAGACCAAGTTAGTGTGATACTAACATGGTGATACTCAGGTATTTCTGCAGATGAGATGAAACAGAAAATACCTACCAAAGCTGGACCTTAGCTGGTCCTTATAAAACAGAATGCAAAATGAATGGGAGTAGGTCTCTGATAGGAAATAATTGATCTTTGAAAGCAGAAAAGAAAGGCAAGGTATATGTAATATTGCAGAATATCCACAATCTTCCCAGAGTTTACTAATGTGGGTTCTTTCTAGAACCCATAGTTTCCAAATGAAATTTATATTGTGTCCTTTCTACTGATTTTCTCTACTCCTACCCATCCCTATACTTAATAAAGGACATAATTCCCTCAGTGCCAAGATCTCAATGAGGTATTACTGTAAATCAAATTTATGCTAAAAATTATTAAATTATTATTATTATCCCCACTTTCACTCTGATTAAAACTTAATCTTCCCAGGAAAGATTGCTTTTCCACATCTCAAAAATACCACAAAATGCTGGGATTTCAAAGAGTTTGGCAAAAAAAATTTGGGGTGAGTGGGCCTTGCCTAAGCAGTCTAACCTATTCTGTGTATAGGGGAGAGATGGCCATGGTGGAAAAAAGGATAAGGAGACTTTAAATATTTAGGTCTATTCCAACTAGCAGAGGAGGGCCAACCATAAATGCATCTTTTTTTCCCCTCTTTCTGGGCTTTATTTTGTTCTTCAAAAAAAATTATCTCTGGTCTGCTTCCCTTTCCACCTACAGTCTATTCCTTTAAGTCTGAGACCTGAGTGTCCCTGCTCAGAACTTTGGAAGTGCTGACTTTTTGACAATTCCATGGAATTGTCTTATAAACATCTCAAAGTTAACATATCCAACCACACATCAGTTACCTCGCCCAACCCTCCCCATCAGTTACTATCACTACTACTCTCCCAAATGTCACCCTTCACTCCTGCCTTTCCCTAAATCCTCAATGTCTAGTTCATAAACAAATCCTGTCTATTTTACTTCCAAATACATTTTCTCAAAAAAAAAAAAATCTAGCTCTTTCTAAATCCACCTGCTACTTTCTACCTTGCAGCTACCGATCTAGCCAGGCCATCATTTGCTCTGCAACTGCAATCGTTTGCTTGGTTCTTTTTCTACTTCTATTTTTAGCCCTTCTATCTGATCTTCATATAGAAGTCAAGGTGATCACTCCCCGCATTAAAATCTTTCCAAAATCCACCCCAAATAAACCTAATCCTTACCAAGGTCTATAAAACCCACCAGGACATGGCTCCATGACCACCACCCTTTTTTCTTACCCTCCTCCAGGCGCACAGTATTTGGAAGTTTTAAAGTTACCCAACTTGGAAAAATTGCTTACAATAGAATGCATTGTCACCTTCTTCTGGCCACTGATGCTGGCACTGCAGAAATGCCAAATAGCTCCAAGTTCCAAGAAATGAATCACAGGAATCTTTTTGCTCTGGGCTATTATTATATGCTTAATTTATCATGACACTGTAGAGGTCAAGATCAGATAGAACTCTCAGCTCTGCAGTTCTCAGGCGCTGGCTAAAGTATATTCTTTGAGATTTTCTACCCTGAGTCTTACTTAACTGATTTCCAAGCTCCTTCATGTTCTACAGAAGATGTATTGGCACAGAGCCTGGACAAAACACTAAGCAACTATCATAAATTAATCATTTATTATTTCTTTCTCCTATGCCTAATAAGCTCCTATTGTTTTTCTGAATTTAATTTTGTTTACCCACTTCCTAGATTTTGTCAGTAGTACAATGGTGATTGTTTCAGTAGCAAGGCTTTCAGTCATCTGAGGGTTCTTTTGTGAGGTTGAGAATAGCAGATCTTAAGGCATGTGGTTTCAGGCATTTGTTCCTAAATACAAAAGTGAGGCCCTCAAATCTTGCCTGTATAGCCCGCCCCCCATCACCGAATCAAAATTGCATTTTTCAAGACTTTCTGCACTTTTGAAATATTTCATCCAATAGGTTAATTCCTGTTTATCCTGGCTTTTCAATGTCTGCCTTCCTGAATTCTAATGTATGTAGCAGAATATGCTCAATTTCCCTTTCCTTAACTATCCCAAAGCCTAAGACGATATGGTCACTTTCTCTTAAGATAGCACTTTACTAATCAATTCTTTTCTGTGGGTCAGAATTAAATCTTTTATCACATTTCCAGTGGTCATTGTCTCTATGATCTGAGAGATGAAGGGGCTTTCTATACATTTACGTGTATAATTGGACTCATGGTTAAAAATTCATTTTTTCCCTGAGGTCACAGTGAAATAAATGCCTTTTTAAAAATCTTTTCTATTTTTTGAGAAAAAGTGTGAAGTCATTCCAGACCTTTCTTTCCTTTAAAAACAAAAACAATTTGTATTTCTTGTTGTTTTAATTTATTGCTTTTTTTATTTCTGCTTCCCCCACTCAAACCTCTATGATCTCCCAATTCTGCCTTCATTTCTAAATCCAAATGCCTTTTTGCTGTGCCTCATGGAAGCTAGAGCTTTCTAAAATGGAGCATTTTGTGCTCTTATTTTTGGTTGACAACTTACAGAACAAATGACCTTTCATTTCTATTTAGCTCATGAAGAAAACCAATGAGTAAACTGGCAACTTACTTTACAAATTGACTATGGATCTCCTCAACTATTACCATTACCTAGAGACATGTATCCATATATAAATAAGCATTGAGGCTAATTAGTTTAATCTCAATAAGCAGATTCATAATTTTCACTTGGACAATATTTTATAAAACACTGGTTGATAATGTATCGTTTCAAAAATACAATTAAGTGTTAATAAAAGCAAACCTTATTTTGAAAGACAACCATTAAATCTTAGCAAGGCAGAGTTAGCATTGTTAAATATCTAGTTCTCCCTATATTAAGCAACATTTTTAATGATAAAATGTCTGTCATCAACTTTTATTTATTTAGACATTTTAATATAATATATTGAATCATGGAATGCAATTCATAGTAAGGCTTAAGGGAGCCATGGTCATAGATTTATAATTTACTTTGCATGGCAAGTAGATAGCATCAAATGCACAAGAAAAGGTAATATAATTTTATTATATCTGTATCACTGTAATTAAAATAATTTGAAGCTTGATGGAAATTAGACAGGATTACTTAATTTACTTAAGATTACTTAATTTAGATAGTAGAAATTTCTTTCTTAGAAGTAATCAAGAAGAAGAAAATAATTTTCTCTCGCTATGTTGTTAAAAGGATGAAAAGAGCAACTATGTTTTATTTCAGCATATTTTGTGAAAGGAAATATTGGGTCTTTTACAAACCCCATAGAGGGAACAGTCTATTTTACTTCTAGCAGCTCAGCATGAACTAAAATCAGAATATTAGATAAGTTTTCTTTTTTATTGATATGTGGCTATTTAAAAGCCAGAGGAGAAAAAAAGACCCCACAATAGTAAATGCTATATTTATCTCAGGGTGTAGTAATATTGGCACTCTCACACAACACTGGTAGGAGTGTAATTGTTATAAATTTTTCTGATGGGAAATTTGGCAATATATATCAGTGTGTTTAGTAGCAGTGCAGCAATTCCAATTCTAAGAATTTATACTAAGAAAATAATACAAAATACGATTATATGTAAAACTATATATGTATGTATATATCTGTGTATGTGTATATACACACATACAAACATATATATGAATATATTTATGTATATAACATTCATTATATAAATGTTCTTTATTGTGTAAGTCCTAATAGTAAGTATACTATTATATCATGAATTCATACAATGGAGTATTGTGTCATACTGTGTCATCATTTAAACTTACTGTATAGATTCAATTTACACACATGCTTGATAGATTTCTAAATGTTTAAAAAATCTATAGATTAAAAAACCTGGAGTGTATAAGAGTATAATGGAGGTTTAAATAATTGGGGGTCATAACACAACTGTGAATAGAAAATATATTGGTTTGCAGAATTTTTCTCTTCATCCATTTCTGTGTTTTACAAATTGTTTTGCTTTAAAAGTCACTAATGAATAACAAATACTATTGAAAAATATAAAGCAAAAACTAATATACATATGCAAATTATATGTCCATGTAATGCACTTACCTTTGGTAAGGAAGCTCGTGATCCTGAACTCTGTGTGGTCATAGTCAGCACAGTAGTTATTCCCAAAGCTACCCTGGCCGGAGCGGCATCCATATTGATCCAGAATGAAACCCAGGATAGAATAACGATCAGGAGACTGGGAATGTACATCTGGATCAGGTAGTATCCCATTTGCCGTTCAAGATGGAATCGCACTTCTATACATGTAAACTTTCCTATTTGGTTGTAAAATAAATGCAGCAATTCATAAATCTAGGTCTTTGTTACGGCATCAAATGTCACAATTTTTTTTTCCTATTTTTTTCCTAAAGTTTTTCATTACAATGAAAAGGGATCCTAAATCATACAAGCAAATCGATTTCTGAAAAAATATTCTTATTTTTGTGCTAGCATCTAGAAGCAACATAATATGAGAAAGTACTGTTTCAGGAAATAGTATGTATTCTTATGACTTCACATCTGAGGAGCAATTCTTACTTGCCAAAGTACTCATAGATCTATGATTTCAGTTGATTGTCTCTGAGATGGACAGGAGAAATGTGTATCTATTATATAAAGACCTTCCTTACTCATTGACTGCTTCCTATTTAGAACCAGGTGCTATTTGACCCAGAAGGCTTGACATTTAGAGTAAGTGCTAAAGGATAAATATAACTGAAGATGATTAGTGCCTTAAATGCAATTTGTGTAATTTATTTTATGCATTAATAATTTGAAAATTATTAATGCAAACAAATAGGAAAACATGTTATTTCTCATTAATAATTTTGAACATAACTTAAAAATACACTTACTAAAAAGAAAACTGAGATACATCTGTTCTATATATTTAATGCCTTTGTGCCTCTCTTATGGTAAGTAATTAAAAGAGGAATAAATTATGGTGTAATTAAACATTTTGTTCATCTTCTGGCTTATCCTTTGGTTCTATTCCCTACTCTATTACCATGTTACTTCTCCTTAAAATAATTGTTTATCTGAATCACCTAACTCTTGGTTTTATTTTTTCCTTATTCTAACTATAAAGAAGGGTAAAGTCAGGGAGTTACATGCTGATCATTCTTTAAGTGACATTCTCTGATCTAATTATGAGAGAAAGAATCAAAAAGCACTTCTAGGAAAGTTGCTAGCACATTATTAGACAGGGTTCAGCGCAAAGCTTCTATTATTGTGGCTTGAGCCACGCACCACTGTAATGCATAGGCAGGGCTGCAGGATAAAGGGATAAGCTTAAAAGTCTTAGCAGAGTTTCATAAATTGTGGGAAAATTGGATTCCACTCTTAAGTGTGTTGTATTCAGAAACATAAGCAAGCTGTATGTGATCCTTTTATCAATTTATCAATATATGCAGAATTCTTAAACAGTTTTTAAGTATATGAACATAGTTTATATTTTTAAAGCTCTATTAAAATATAAAAATGAACTTCAAAAACATTTTGCTATGTGAAAGAAGTGAGTCACAAAGACCACATATAATTCCATTTACATGAAGCATCCAGAAAATATAAAGCTGTAGAGACAGAAAGTTGATTAGTGGTTGCCTAGGATTGCTGGGTGGGGAGGGCTCCTATTGGAGGTAAGGTTTATTTTTTTCAGAGGATAAAATATTTCAAAATTAGAGTGATGGTTGTACAACTCTATAAATATACTAAAAATCATTGAGCTGTATGCTTTCAACAAGTACATTTTATAGTATGTAAATTATCTCAGTATAGTTGATTTTTGAAAAAACATTCTTCAGTTATAAGATGAATAAGGTCTGAAGATCTAATGTATAACATGATAACTATAGTTGATAACACTGTATAATTGAAATTTGCTAAGGGAGTCGAATTTAAGTGTTCTCTCACACACACACAGAAGGTAAACATGTGAGGTGATGGATATGTTCATTCACTCAATGGAGGGAATCTTTTCACAGTGTATACATATATTAAATCATTACATTGTATACTAATTATGTTATAATTTTATGTCAATTATACCTCAACAAAATTGGGAGGGGGCATTCTTGCTAATATAGATCTAAAGGAAAATTTTCCTGTTTAGAGCAAAACTGTTCCTCCCCCTGCTTGTTCCTGGAGGGCAGGCTGTAATATTCTCACATGTACAGACAAATTTTCCACGTTGAAATCCACTCCTTGTTTATTATTTTATTCAATAAATATTTATTCAGTATCTATGTACTTCAGCAGACCCCAGAAATATAGAAATGAAAAAAGGAGATGCAATCCTTGGCTTTACAAACTTGTGGTAATAAGGGAATCAGACAATATATAAATAAATATACAAATTAAAGATATAATTTCAGACTGCGAAAGCAGGAAGTGGAAGGGAAAATGATTTGGGTGTTTACCATATGCTTATTATAGGGAGTCATTTGAGGAGTTGATATTTGAGCAGTCCTGAAATGTGTGAGTATTATATTTGGGATAATTTGGGAAAAGAGGCTTATATACAGAAGAAAGAGTGAGTATAAAGGCTCTGAGGCAGAAGTGAGTGTGGCAAATATGAGAAAGCAAGCCATTGTGGCGAAATTACAGAGCAAAAGGGAGAGAGGTAGAAAAGGTTTTTGGAGAGATGGGCAAGGGACACCATCAAGTTTGTGGCACTTTGTTAACAGCAGCTCAAAGAAACCAATCTACCACCAGAAACCAAATCTAGAGGCTTTTTTAGCATTTCTCTAAAAGCTGATTATCATTGCAACTGCCCATAGAGGGCTGAGCAAGGGCACTAGTGTTGACCTGCCTACCCTTTGTCTTTGTGTTGAGATGTTAACCTTGAACTCCGTGCCAAATTAAGTATCAGCCTAACCTCGGATGAGGATAAGGTGAGGAGTGAGAAAATGTCAGTGACCTTTTCACCAGATCCTATGAATTGATTATTAAGAGAAATTAGAATTGATAAAAGAAATTAGAGACCTCATATAGTGACAGGTCAAATCACAGTCCTGGAAAATGCTGAGCACACAAGAAATCAATTACTGTAATGAAATGGTAGAACTGCAGCTGATGCCAGTGGGAGGCCATGCACTAAGAACACTGGAGTGATGCCTCAATGGAGGGCAGTTTAACAGAATTTGTAGGAATAGGTTAGGCAGTCACAACAGATATTGTATTATGAGAACAGCCCGTGCCACTTGAGAGAAGCGAACAGATCTCATGAATGCACAACTGTCACATTAAGTCTTTCACCCCTGTCTTTAACTAGATCTGATATCTAGTCTCAAAGACAAGAGGCCACTGTGTCAGAGTGAATAGCAGGTGCTTAAGGAACAATACCTGAAATGCATGAAATCGTGGCCAAAAGTTTAAGCAAATGAAGCGTTAAAAAAATAAATTTCTTTCATTTTGTTAGCAAACGCGTTTCTGACCAAGAAGAGTTAAAAAGTACATTCTATTGCTCACATAGAAATTAAAGGAACTTTTTAAAAAAACATCCTTACTGTGTAACCATGGGCTTTTCACACACAAAAAAATACGTCCCATACAAATGAATCACATGACAACATGCAACGACTCAAAGCATCTGTAAGTTTCAAATGCATTCATTTTCTGCTCTATGACTATGAAAAACATTGAGCAATAAGTAGTTAAAATAATTAACTTATAACACGATAATTAAGAACATCTGACTATCATGAAGACTTGAGTTGTAAGTGTAATAAAGAATAGTCAACCCCTACCTGTGTTGTAATGTTTAGTGCAGTATCGTAAATCTTTCTCTTCTTTTAACAGAAACTGGGGCAGAGTAAGTCCTTCTGCCACTTGTACAGGTGCCTCATCTTGCCATTCAAAAATGAGATCATTCATAGTATATCCAACTGTGCAAACATAATAAAAATATTTATAGCATAAAAGGGCATTCAAAGAAATGAAAACACACACGCATGCACACACGAACAATTCATATGGGATGGGAAGAACAAACACTGTCGTCTTAACTCTATCAATTGAACTATTCCAACTCACAAAAGTCTATCGAGTCTATTCATATGGAATATTCATCAAATCATGGAAGAAAATGTAGTAGGCTAATAATAAGTATAACATGCGTGTAGAAACCTTAAAGGACATGCATTTACATTCTTTTTTTCCTTGATATAGGCAACTACTGGATTAGTTCAACAAGTCATTTTGGCTCTACTCCATTAGATTTCCCCTCACCTTCTCTCAAATTATTCAGGACTCTTTCAACAATAACTGAAATTGTAACTGGTTAGGAAATGACCTCAGCTATAAATCTGTGGGAAGAAAGCACTAGATCTACTAATACTAGAACGAGATACCGTTCTTGGTTAAATCATTAACTATTTTAGTTTATGGTATCAGCTTCTATATTCCAAGTCCCAAAATAGACAAAATGATATTTTAAATAGAAATATCTGCTATCCAGGAAACACCAGAGTACAAAGAACAGCCACATGGAATAGTTTGTGAAGAAGGAAACTCTTGCACAGGCTAGTAGTAAGTTCAGGAAAGAGGTAACTAATATGTTTTGTATTAAGTCAGCATCTTTTAGCTAATTAAAATTTCCTATTTCTATAGAAGTACTTAAGAAAAGCACCATTTTATTTTTTTCTTTCTTCTGAGTGAGAAGCTGTTGAAATGTACACCTGAAGGCTGCTGCAGAAAGGAAGTCAAAAGTGAATGCAACCTGTGGGGGAAGGCTTGTCCCAATTAACCAACATCATGGAGGTAGAAAGAGAGAGACGAAGCATGGTCTGACTCTGAACTAAGTTAGGTGGTCAGAAAAAGGAAGCAGAAGCTCTAGGTCCATGAGGCAGCAAAGGAGGGAAACTGTACCCAGCAATTTTTCCCGTAGCTTATATTATAAGGAGAGGCTGTGAGAGTGATTAGAATCAGCAGACGTGGCAGGCTGAACAGAGCAGTGGGTGGTGAAGGGAACTGATCACTCTTCCTGCTCCCACAATACCTGGAAAAGATCCTCCCCCAAAGAACCAAATCTGATCTAGCTGTGGTGGGAGGGACTGGAGCCAGAGGCCCAGCTGCACCCACCAGATACTTTTTTTTTTTT